CTCCTCCTAGAAAGGCTATGGGGTATACTCACTTTTGTGCTTAAACAAAGATAACCTGGATCAGATATTCCTTTCCTTAAAGACATTTAATTTCCTTCAGCCCTTATTTCATTTACTAAGATGTTATGCAAGTTATTTTCATGCTGCATGTGGCATGTGGAAATACTATACCACATCAGTGCCTGTGGCTCCTGTTTACATTGGATCTAGATGGTGCTTTCATATATACCAGAGATCCATTTGAGTAGGAATGAGGATCACCGTATCCAACTAAGGGAGCAAACTGCTTCACACTGATCAGCCAACAGGGGAATTTCACTTTTCCAGACAGGGTTGCTTTGATCTTACTTTGTGTTCTCAAAAAGTTATTGTACAAAGATTGGATTCCCAGCAATTTACTTGTAAATTTGGCTGGTCTATAACATTCTCAGGGCTCTTTCATTCATGTCTTTTTCAGTCTTTTCCTTCCAAACACCCACAAACTTTTACTTAGGGTATGGCTACACTTGCAGAGTTTTTGCACTGTAAGTTTCACTGGTGATAGGGAACCAGTGAAAGAAAAGCGCTGGTTTGTGTACTCAATTCCTCAGGCATCGGAGAGTGTTTACACCAGCAGCCCTTCCATCACCGATGAGAGCAGCGCTCTAGGGCAGATATCTCACAGTGCAGCTCTCTCGATAGGCCTTGTGGGAAGGAGGGGGTGAGCGGAAGGCATTCTGGGTCCCTGCTCAGTGCCCTGTGCTGCACTGCTTCATGTCCCAGCAGCCCCATTACTTCTTTGTTTCTTTCATGGCATTTAAAAAAAAAAAAACACCCTGCTGTCTGGCTGCTTTCCCTTCCACATCTACAAGCAAAGGGAAAGGGAGTTTCAAACTTCCTGGGGCTTACAGTGGGAGGGGTGGATGTCCGTTTACCTAGGGTCAGAGCAGCGGAGATGCTGGCCAGAGTGGTCACTTTTGGAACTATGGGATATCCTTTGGAGGCCAAAAGGTGTTTACACTGGTAGAACATGTCTTCACTTTCACAACAGTGCAAAAACAACAGTGGTAAGAACTGTATGCCTCTCGTGAAGGTGGTTTTCTTTTTGCGGTGAAACTTCTGAGTTTCACTGCAAAAAGTCATTAACAAGTGTAGATGCTCCCGTGGTTTTAGCGCAAAAAAGGGACTTTTTGCGCTTTAAATGGCAAGTGTAGACATAGCCTTAGTCTTATTTGAAGTTGTAGAGGTATAAAAGTAATCCAGTCATACTTGAAACCACTTGATAATCCCCCACCCTTCTCTACAGATTTAAGATAAGCCCAGATGTGATGTCTTGAGGTGCAGGAATCTGAGTTGTGGTGTGGGTACTGGATTTCACTACTCCTTTCAGCAACCACATTACTGGCAGCTTAAATGCAAGTTAGATTTCCTTTTGTATTTTGACTCAGCACTTCAGGTTTATGACTGCAATACATTTTCAGTGCTAAAAAATGGGACACAATTTGTGTGGTATGAAGGGAAATTTTAGATTGAAAATGAGGGATAAGTGACAGTACGAATGAAATAAGAGATTGCAGGTTATTGGCTGCTGATAGAATAAGTTATCAGAAACTGCTCTGTTGGCAGCTGTTGTATACTCTTTCCCTCCTCCCCCCTTCAGTTCTGTAACTTCAGGAGCCTCTACTGAGATGCTGTCTCTTGTAATTGCTGTAAGGGAAAAATGGAACAAATTTATCTGCAGTACTGTTCTTTTTTTCTCTTTGTTCCTTGGTCAGTGCGTTGGTGTCACTGTATTCTAACAGCAGCAGAGAGTCCTGTGGCACCTTATAGACTAACAGACGTATTGGAGCGTGAGCTTTCGTCGGATGCTATAAGCCTGACTTCAGTACTGGGCAAACTGATTGAAACTATAATAAAGAACAATATTGTCAGACATATAGATGAACATAATTTGTTGAGGAAGAGTCAACATGGTTTTAGTAAAGGGAAATCATGCCTCACCAATCTACTAGAATTCTTTGAGGAGGTCAACAAGCATGTGGACCAGGGGGATCCAGTGGATATAGTGTACTTAGATTTTCAGAAAGCTTTTGATAAGGTCCCTCACCAAAGGCTCTTTCGCAAAGTAAGCTGCCACGGGATAAGAGGGAAGGTGCTCTCATGGATCAGTAACTGGTTAAAAGATAGGAAACAAAGGGTAGGTATAAATGGTCAGGTTTCAGAATGGAGAGAGGTAAATAGTGGTGTTCCCCAGTGGTCTGTTCTGGGACCAGTCCTGTTCAACATATTCATAAATGATCTGGAAAAAGGGGTAAACAGTGAGGTGGCAAAATTTGAAGATGATACAAAATTACTAAAGATAGTTAAGACCCAGGCAGACTGCCAAGAGCTACAAAAGGATCTCTCAAAATTGGGTGACTGGGCAACAAAATGGCAGATTCCATTTATCAACATTAAATTTCGAGTAATGCACAGTGGAAAGCATAATCCCAACTATAAATATAAAATGACGGGGTCTAAATTAGCTGTACCATTGAAGAAAGAGATCTTGGAGTTATTGTGGATAGTTCTCTGAAAACATCCACTCAATGTGCAGCAGCAGTCAAAAAAACAAACAGAATGCTGGGAATAATTAAGAAAGGGATAAATAATAGGACAGAAAATATGTTACCTTTATATAAATCCATGGTATGCCCACATCTTGAAAACTGTGTGCAGATGTGGTCGCCCCATCTCAAAAAAGATATACTGGAATTGGAAAAGGGCAACAAAAATGATTAGAGGTATGGAACTGCTGCCGTATGAGGAGAGATTAATAAGACTGGGACTTTTCAGCTTGGAAAAGAGATGGCTAAGGGGAGATATGATTGAAGTCTATAAAATCATGACTGGTGTAGAGAAGGAAGTGTTGTTTACTACTTCTCATAACACAAGAACTGGGGTCACCAAATGAAATTAATAGGCAGCAGGTTTAAAACAAATAAAAGGAAGTATTTCTTCACACAACGCACAGTCAACCTGTGGAACTCCTTGCCAGAGGATGTTGTGAAGGCCAAGACCATAACAGGGTTCAAAAAAGAACTAGATAAGTTCATGGAGATAGGTCCATCAATGGCTATTAGCCAGCGTGGGCAGGAATGGTATCCCTAGCCTCTGTTTGCCAGAAGCTGGGAATGAGCGACAGGGGATGGATCACTTGATGATTACTTGTTCTGTTCATTCACTCTGGGGCACCTGGAACTGGCCACTGTCGGAAGACAGGATACTGGGCTAGATGGACCTTTGATCTAAACCAATAGGGCCATTCTTATGTTCTTATGCTTGAAGGTGACGCTGGAAAAATTTTCTTGGAATTCATTGACACTTACAGAGTATCAGTAAAAGTTATCTTCCTGATCTGCTTGGAAAATAACTTTACTCCAAATGCAGCTGAAGCTTTAAAACCTAAAAGGTCTTCATTTTTGGCTCCATCAAATTCTTTTTCTGTCAGATCAAAAATACAGCTCTTCTCCCTAAAGAAGTTAATGAAGCTACTTGGAGCTCACACTTATGCAGATTTTTTTCCCTTTAAATCTTTCCTCCTCTCCATTCAGATAATCCCTGACATTGCAGCCTTCTTCTGTGCCGCTTGTTTGAGATTAACCCAAATCTTGCACTTGTCATGCTGCCAAAGATAAATTAAAATAAATAAAAACAGGTAATTGGCTTGTTCCTGCTTCCCAGCATCAGAAAAGGTGCTGAAGGGATAGTCTCTTAGAGGAGTAAAAAGGGATGCTTTGATCACTTGATCATTACCTGTTAGGTTCACTCCCTCTGGGGCACCTGGTATTGGCCACTGTCGGTAGACAAGAAACTGGTCTAGATGACCTTTGGTCTGACCCAGTACGGCTGTTCTTATGTTCTTATGCTTTGGAAGAGGAACTGTCTGGTCAGGAAATGGGAGGTACGGCTCAGAAAAACACCTGGGGTCCATTATTGCATCACTCTACATCTGCTAACCCTTGTTAAGGGCATCTGGAGGTTTGTACAGGCCACCATCAGGGTTATGCATACCTCCAGAAAGAAAGAGAATTAAAAGCGCTTTAGATGGGGGATTTCACTTTTTTGTTTTATATAGATTCCACTGAGTAGATATGAGTGGGATGGAGGACACCACCAAACCTATGCAGGCTCTGAATGTTGAAAGATATCAAAATACAGGCTCATTGGAGAACATTATTGGCTCACAATCAGTTTAATTCTGTATTTTTAAATTGGCAAAAGTGCATGATTTGTTTGCAATTGATATGCCATCTGATTTAAAGAGTTACTAGAGATGAGAGACCTATCGGATCTGTAATTCCTCCCAGTGCAAGATAGTGTGCCAGGAAGAACAGTTAAATATGATATGAAATACTTTCTTGAAGAAGGAGTTTTCTTTTACTTGCTCTTATTAATTTTTTTTAGTTCCATTCTTTTATCAGTGAAAAAAGTGCTAACCTTTCTTATATTATTCTTTCCTGTATATATAATTACATTTAGGCCATGTAGCTTTATTGGTGGCAGTGCCAGCTATTGCTGCAAAATTAATTTATATTTGAACTGGTGAAAGCAAGCTCTTTTATGGGTAACATAAAGATAGAACATACAAACATTAGCTGTTTTTGATATTCTGCTCAGTGTGAAAGCTTTCATGGAAATCAATGATGGTTATGATATCATGAGGCTTCCTCCCTTGCTGTTGTCTGTGGAGACTCAGAATGTGCTTGACCCACTGTTTTCTGCATACACAAGCTGGAAGGACTCTATGAGTAGTGTATTTGTGACATGCTTAGACTCTGGAGGCTGTGGTGGAAGATGAAGGATTCTTGCTTCAAGAGTTCTGTGCATTGGAACATCCACTGGAGTGAAGGAGAGGAAAAGACTATCCTCTCTTTCTCTGTTTATGCACATACCCAGACAGACTCATATTGCAAATTCTTTCCACTTTCAATGTGTTGGATTGGTAACAGTGACATGGCTTTCTTTTTTTATTTCAACAGAATTCTAGGGCAAAGATTGGCATGTTACCATGGAAGGACAGCATAACCATCCACATCATCTAGGGGACCAGAACAACCCTCTCTGCAAAGTGCCAGGGCAGGAATATCAGCATGATCCTCAAGTAAGCACATTTGTCTCTTTAATCCCCCTTTTTTCTCCTTAAAGACCCCATGGAGTCCTTTTTTATAACTGTTTTTAAATGTTAAGATTAGTATAGTCTTTAAGGTATATACATTTTTGGGCCAAACAGCTTGACAGTGTTGCTTCAAACCCATTTTTGATGATCAAAGGAGGAATGGGAAACATTTTCAATGGTACCTATAGCAAGTGTTTTGAAATTGGCTTATAAAAAGCTTATAGTGGTAGAATGCTGACTTTCTGTGCTGCTGCGATTCTTTAAAGGGAGGCCAAAGAAAAGAAGCTGTTTGAATTTTAATGATAAATGTAGTCTTTATTTATCTACTGGAATATTTTAATAGTGAATATTTTAGTGATAATTACCAAATACAAGAAACAGGTCAGTCCAGATGAAATTGTATGCTCTCTTTCTATCTTCTGAGTCTCTGGGAGCATCGTTCCTTGATATTTTTTGTCTTCACAAACATGTTTCCCTGTATGATACTCTCCCTCTTGTAACTAACAGTCCACAAAAGGGGTAGGGGATAAAGATATCATTAGGTCTTATTTCCAGACTAACTGCAGATTTTCAGTTTAACCAAGAGATTATTTTTGTTGGTATGGCTTGGGGCTACCTCCCTCCTTGGAGGGTGTTTAAGGCTGCAGATATTATCAGAACAGTTAATTTTTACCTGCACAGTACCTAGTGCACTTAACAAAAAGCCTTAAAGGTAGAGAAGAGTGCTGGAAGTCTTGCTGGGAAGTTCGGGTGTTAATTTGCCACTTTAAGTATTGGATCCAGTGGTGTTTTGAGGTTCCTTGGACAGGAATAATTCATTAGGAAAGCTGTAGCAAAACATAGATACAAGATTCCAAAAACAATGAATATATTTTGTGTAGCGCTGCTTTGAAAATACATTGTATGGAGCACAGCCCCTTCTCCTAATGCAGCAATTTGTCATATTAAGTCATTTAATAATAATTGAATCCCCTTGATTAATCTCCTAGAATTAGCCAGTTGCATTTTGAGCAATTAGGGTTAATTACTGCCTCATTTGGCAGGGTAGAGCCCCTGTAATTATTTCATGAACAAGATTAGGAAGTGTTCTTAAGCAGCAGCTACATTCATGGCATCGTGGAGCACATGTTAGAATTTGTAATGACATAGTTAAGTGTAATTAGTAGGTAATACTCTATGTTCTGCCGTTACCCTGATGCTGAGCAACCTCATTTTGCTGAATGGTCATTGTTCAGTGAAGATTTCCCTCTCTTCTCTTAGTATCTAAATTATATCAGTGGAGGTGTCTGAGTATGTCAGCTGTTCTGAGGAAGATCCAGGTTGGAAATTGGGGGTGGGGAAAAGAGCTCTTGCATCTTTACTCCTTTTTAATAGCCTTGGTGCTGAATAAACCAGAGAAACAGTGTTACCGAGAAGGTGAAATGTTAGTTTTAAAACTTAGTTTATTGTAAAAAGAAACACAATATAGTAACTTCTGAAGCAAAGATTATCACAACTTCCTTGTGTGTCAAGATGATGATGGTTTGTTTATTGCAGTATATCTGGTTTTTCATTTGTCATAAATGTAATTAGAGAGCTTCTTAGTTTTGTGGTATCTCTTATGTGGAAGGATCCCAAACTACATAATTCTGCACCATGAAATGCAGCGATCCTTGTCTCTGAAGGTGTTAGTAATGCTAGCATGCTATGCTGTAGTTTAGGGTGGGAGGGAGGGAAATGTTGGTTAAACATCTTTTATGAAAAGTGTCACGCATGGGGCTTCAATGTTTCTGCAGAGCAGGCGGTGTGTTGGCTTTTAAAGTCTCAGCAAAAAAAGGTGGGGGGGCAGGGGAGAGTGAGAGAATAAACTAAATGGAATGGTTTCTTTTCTTCGGTCAAGGTTGTGCCCTCGTCTACAGACGGACCAGACCAGGAGTATACTCCTATCCCAAAGGCCTTTCCTAACAGTAGTTTTCACTCTTTGATTGAAAAATGCTTTTAGCACTTTTCATCTTACAATTTCAAACACTTTACAAAAGCGTATTATCTCCATTTTACAGGTGGCAAAGTGGAGGGAATGGCTGTCCTAATGTGGCATAACAAGTCAGTGGCAGAGCTGGAAATAGAATTCCAGGACCGTTGACTCCCCATCCCCTTCTCCAATTACTAGACAACACTTCCATAAAAAGACTATGTGCTTTTATGCAGTGCCCTTCTACAGCTAATGCTGCCACTAAAGTGCTTCTGCACAGGTGGGGAAGTGGTATTTGCTTTTCTTAATACTACGTGAGCTGCAAGTACCAGCATAGCTTTCCAGTTGTAGCCTGATCTTTGCTGCTGCCTGCCTCATGTATAGTTCACATTCTGGAGTATTTTTCTGTTTATATAAAAATTTGGGGCTGTAGTAGCTGTACTCTGGTAGCTTGATATTTATTTTTTTTATAAGTTGCATATACAATAAGAAGGTATATATAATTTCAACTTGAAGAGAGATAAATTGACTACATGTCACAATTTGTTTCAAACTTGCCCCAGAAGATTTGCAGTGCTAGTTTAGAACCATCCCTAGCTGCTCATCTGCAGTATTTATATTTAGTGTTTTAGTTAACCTTTTCCTTATGACTCACAATAGAACTTCCTACTTAGAAGTTTTCTAATTAGAGTAAGTGAATATATATAGAGAGAGGAACTTATAAAATCACAGCAAGGATATCAGCCCAGCATTGTTCCTATGAAGTTTGTAAAAAGAAACAGAATGCTTTCCTAGTAATGTTCCTGACGGCAAGCTGGCAATCAGTGAAATACCCAGTTTATTTGTTTGCTCTGGGTCGCAGAGGAGTAAAGATTATGTGAAGTATGCAAAATACAGTTCTAAAAATTTAGCTTTTTCATCATTTTTATTGACTGAAATTTGGTTTTATAAAAACAATAATGCAATCCAGTATCTATTCTCTGACCCTTATTTTTACAGTTCTCAGATACTAGGATTGCTCATAACTAATTTTGGTCACTACTGATTTAGATTGGATTCACTTAGTAGTGAAAGTCTCTGTCCCATTTATAATTCCCTGAGGCATCCAGCTTTTTATTCAGTTTCCCCTACTGAATATTGGCTTAGCCTACAAATTCAAAGTTAACATTTCTCTTTTCCTGTCGACTTTTTTCATTAGCCAGTACTAATTTTTCGCTGGTAGAGAAGATAACATTTCAAACTGGAGCCAAGTTGTTCATCAGACTTTGAATTGTAGCTAACAATTCAGATTCAGGATATCAGAGATTATCATACTGGTTTCTGAAGCTATGAAGTCCAAAAACTGAGAGCAAACAGTCATCAGCTGCAGTCATTACCACAATAGCTGTCTGATACTTGAACAATAATTCACATTTACAAGCCCAGTATTTTCCTGTTCTAGTTGGTGGAGCTTAGAAACCCTACATAAACCAATTTATTCTTCTAGTGTATTTTTGTAAATACACACCAGAAAAAGAATTTCAATCTCAAAATGAACAGACATTTTTTCAGCAAGATTTTATTTTATGGATATGGATGTACAGTTTGACAGATCATAAAGAGATTTGAATGATTGATGATGATAGTAAATCAGTCCTTTGAATACATATGCATTATACTGCATATGCTAAGGCTTCCCCATGTACCAACACAGATGTTTTTCAAAGGTGAAATTAGTTTATGGTAAATGTCATTCAGATGAAGCATGCACTTTAAAAGCATAGAAGCAGTTGCCTTAAAATTAATGATGCATTGCAAATATCAGAAAAAAGCTTACATCCAGCGTAAAGATAATTAAAATTCAGGTCAGAAGTCTATGACTTAGTCAGGCTAAATTTTTTAATGAGATTTCAGAAAATTAATTGGGCGAATGCTTTTTTGTTCTTTTATAAGAAATATTTAATTTCATGCTCCTACAGGGGAAAAATGTTTTTCTTGGTAACTAAAGATTGTAATGGCTAACTTTTTAACTATTTGTTAACCAATTTTTAAGAATCTTTAGGTAGGTCAGAAGTATTTTGAGTATTCTGTGGCCTGGTTGCCACTAGTTCAGACTTATGGCAAGTGCTGACTTCCTTTCATGCCAATCAGGCTGGAATAAAACAACTGAAATTATTATTTATTAACCTGAGCTTTTATTGTTTACACACCAGGCAATTATCACAGGATATTTCCATCCTGTAGCCACACCCAGACTCAAATCTCTCCATGCCTCTGAGAAGCAGTCATATAGCCACAACTCCATGTCATATTATTATTGTGCTGAGATTTTGCTGTCTAGTCTCGCATCCCACAGTGACCACATTGTCCTAGTCTCTGCCTGAAACTGCAGGTCAGCAGCAGCAGTGGCTGCTTCTCAGCCAGCTCTCAGAGCATTATGCAGTAGTTTTCAACAGTTAGTTTTTTAATAATAGTATGAATTTAATACTAGTAAAATGCATTGTCAGACTTTTTCAGACTCTGGAGAGACTATCTGCAGCACACTTCTCTCTCTCCCATGCCCCCAACACACTCTTCCTTCAAATTCTGAAGTAAAACCTTAGTCAGGTGCACATTTCAAAATTCTCCAAAAATTCTCCCCAAACCTTGTGGCTCTTTACTTCTGCTTGTTGATAGCTGCTGTCCTTCAGGAGAGGTTGAACCATTTTAATACTAGACGGAAGACATTTAGTGCTGGATGGAAGCACTGAAAGACATCTGCTGCACCTGTGCATTCTAGGATGTGAGTACACATGCATCTGCAGAAAGAGAACGTTATTTACCACTGGTGCCTTCCACTTTGGTATTTGTTGCTATGACTTCCCCATCTCTGCAGCAGTTTGTTTGTGAAGAAAGGCACTGAAGGCTTGATAAGGAATAAGATCCGTGTGTTGTACCCAATGGTTGGGAAATGTGACCATACAGAAAAAAGAACATATTTGTAAGAGCCCAGAGGCGTCTCTGTTCTATCTTGCACCCGGTCTCGTAGAGTAACTTAACCTAGCCGCTGACTATG